AGCTGAGTTGAGGTATTAACGCATGACACCTAATTGGCTTAAATTCCCTGGCACAGTTCCGCAACGAAGGATTGAAATCAAGCAGGCTGCACTTTCCACTCCAGCGAGCCCCACTCACTGCTTACACATTGATTTCTGTGTAAATTGTCTGTGGAACTGCCTTTGAATGCATTCGCAGCAAGTGTCGAGCGCCTTTTACCTATCTATCTAGCCCCATCTCTCTCTCTCTCTCTCTCTCTCTCGCTCTCTCTTTTTTCACGCCACTTGCCGTGATTTTGTATATCCCTCGCTGATCTCTGCCTGTGCCCCCGCCTGCTCTGCTCATTTCGCTAGCTAAAAATGCATTTCCTGTCAAGTGTAAAAAGGAAATGATGTGATGCTCTCGAGCTTTAACGTGCAATCAATCATTGCCGCCTCGTACGCGTGCCCGCCCCCTGCTCGTTCGCGTCTCTCTGCTATTTTACAGCCCGACAGACACAGCATGCCACCGCCCACCCACACACCCTATTGTCCTTGACTGTGTGAATTTTATTTTCTCTCTCTCTCTCTCTCTCTCTCTCTCTCTCTCTCTCTTCCACTCTATCTTCTGCTGCAGTTGCCAGCTCGGGCCGTCGTTTGTGGCGGCTAAAGTCAACGAAAACGAGTTTATTAAGCCGGGCAAATAGTGTTAAGTATTTGTCAAATGTCAAAGTGTCTACCCTCCTCTTCCACCCTCTCATCTCTACCACCCTCGTGAGTGTATTCGCTTTTGCACTCGTCACATTCCTATTTGATTCGCTGCACTTCCGTTACCTCAATTTCCGCTGCTCGCCAAACGCCATTAAATGGAGCTCTGCCCGCAGGAAATCATTAACGGGGCGAATCTTTTATGCAGCAGCTAAATACAAACTAAATTCACAAGGCATAAAAATGTAACGAAATCAAGTGTCGTAGAGAAGCTGATACCCTGTAATTTGCTATGTCACATGATGATCGTCCTAGTCAATTTTAAAGATTCGAATATATCCGAGATATCCCTCGGCAATATAGGTATATTGCATATTGAACAGATATTATTGTCGTAGGACAGCAGAAACCCAGTAATTCCACAGTTATGGCCTGTAAGAAAAAGAAGAAGCATCTTTAACTCTACATCTTCTTCCTATAAATGACAATATATATATATATTTTTTTTTTCAATCTATAAAATTTTCTACTTAGTAGAAATTGTTATCGATTGAAAAAAATTCCTTTTAATACAAAATCTCTAGCGGTAAATTGTATACACGACAATTTTTGCTTAAAAAATGTGCTTCAAACGGCTTCACTCCTACCCTGCCCTGATTTATCTGTTTATGCAAATCGCATATCAATTTATTTCTAGCATCTTTTTCGACTCTGTCACGTTCTTAGAGCAGCGCGCTATTCTGTTGGCCATCAATTCATAAATACAATTACTCAAACCCCAGTCAGCAAATGCATACAAATATACTCAAATTAGTTGAATTTCATTTGAGTTGTCTAATAAATTATTATATAATCAAAAACATACATTTTTTTTCAGTAATATTAATAAAACTTTACATATAAATAATAAAATACTTTTGGTATATACATTTATTATTATACAGCTAATATTGTATTTTTGTAATATCTTATAAGTATTATATATTGTATTTTTGTAAATTTAAGAAATTAACGGTATGTAATTTTTTATTTTATTACAATGTATTGTGAATATTAATTATATTGTATTTTTGTTAATATATTATATTGTTATTATTATTTTGTATGTAATATTGTATTTTTGTAAATATTTTTAATGACTGAATATTCTATATATACTGCATTATTTACTTCTATTTCTATTATAATTATGCTTGGATATTTAATGATTTATAATTTATGTAAACTCTGACTTTAGTACAGTTTAAGTATTTAGGCCAATCATTTATTATTTTTGCCTACTTCAAGTTAAGTCATTTTGGTAATCTGGTGATTTGTATGGTAATTTGTATTCCTTGTCTCTTTTCCGCAATTGGGGCAATAATTTATTGAGCTCAGTTTACTTGTAAAATATATTAACAATCGGCTTTTGTCACTCTGCATATCGCTTACTCGAGTTCAAGTTCAAGCCTTCAGCATTTCGCTTTTACTTTTTTATTTTTTATTTTTTATGCGTAAACTATATCCATCCATCCATCTTTATACCGTTTACTCGGGCATATGTATATTATTTTTTGCGAGCAGCTGAAGGCACTTGCCCACGCCGCTTTATGGGTCTGGGGTTACGTGTCTGGAGTCAGTAATTGGCATTTAATAGGCTCGAGCAAAATAGAATGGAAACGAAATCCACTTATGAACGCCTTTTTTAATTTTTCAACTGAATGGCAGATTGGCTGCAGAGACTGAGACATATACCATGGGAGTTTGGCCAGTTGTTGAATAGGCTTGAAATTCCTTGAATTTCGCTGCCGTTTAATTAGATTTAAGCCAACGCAGCAAATGAGTTGACAGTTATTCTTCTTCCTCTTCGTGGATGCTGCGTGCGCCCTATTTGCCATGAAAAACCTTTTCATTTCTTGTGGTCAGACCTTCACGTCTTTGTGTTGAATGTTTCCGATTTTTAATTAAAATTGCAGCCAATTGGGCTCGAATGCCGCTTGGCTAATTGTTAAGTCGACCCGAAGGTAACCAACCAACAATGAAAACATATTTCGTTCTATATACCGATACAAAGCCTGTCAAAGCGCAGAGAGTTTCGATGAATGAGACATTCTTTCCTTTTCTGTTTCTTGGAATTTTTACTTAAGAGCTGTACCTAAAATGTTTCTTATCAGACAGTCATGCCTATAATTTAATACTTCTATCGATTGCTTTTATGTTTAGAATTTGAGGTTATATCTTATATTTTGTATCCTCAGAACGCAATATAAAACTCAATTTCTAGAAGCTACTTTAAGCTACTTAAAATATCTGTAAGATGCAAGAGTTTCCAGGTGTATTCAAGGATATATTACAAGAATGCACACTGAAGGATACTAGTTTTTTTTTATATTTTCTTTTTTTTTAGCTGAAACTTTGCTGTAAAATTAAGTATATAGGACTTTTTATATTTTACAATTTAATATTTAAATAATTCTAAATAATTCAAAAGGAATGAATACTTATTTTAATTAATTTTCTATTCTGTCATTCTATTATTTCAATATGTTATATATTATTTATGTCTATTAAATTAATTTTTTTTTTTCTGCACAAAATTAATTCAAGAAAATGTTTTTATATTGCTATACATTTCAATATTTTTAATTTTTTTAGATTTATAAATTTAATTATTTATTATGATTTTTCAATTCTTCCATATTTAACGTTTCAATAAATTATCACTCTTTTTCATATTTAAATAAATTGATGTTGAGATTCTCTTACTATATATTTAGATTTATATTATTTATATATTTTACCTGTTCAAAATTGACGGAACAAAATGTTTATATTGCTATAAATTGATATTTATTACTTGTAATTTTTAATTAATCTGTTTTTAATAAATCAATAAGTCTTAATTATTTTTCGTATTTTAATGAATTTTTTATGGCATCCAATTTTTATCTTATT